AGCAAGGCTTTGATGTTTTTTATGAGAGTATAACATTATAACATGATATAAAACTCAAAAAAGTTGATTTTACATGATATTGCCCCTTTAAATAATGAAAGCCTGTGATGATTCCAACAAACCTGCTAACAGTTGGTCACTACTGAATGGCGATGGGGGACATCTTGTCTTCTTTTTGTTTAGTTTACAACTCTGTAGTCTTCAAACTTATTGAATTCTGATGTTTTCTTCCTCTAATTCACTGCATTGTGTCCTTCCTGCTCGCAGATATCTGTTGGACCTGTTGATAAGGAGCCTCTCAGCCAGCTTCTGCCTGGCCTCAGGGGGCAGCTGGGAGCCAACCAGGGCAGCGAGGACTCTGTAAACCCTGGAGGAGGAGGAGGAGGAGGAGGAGGAGGAGGAGGAGGAGGCGGCCTTCAGTCTCCAACCTCCCAGGCTCCAGCTCAGCTCCCGTCTCCACTGTCCCAGCCTCAGTCCGTTCCCCAGCTCCAGTCCCCGTCGCCTCAGCTCCGCCCCTCCTCCCCCCTCAAACTGCAGTCGCCAACTCATCTCCAGCCCGGCGAGGCCTGCTCTCCTCGTAGCGTAAACGTGAAACGGGAGCCCCCTGGGACCCCTAACAGAGGTACTACTTCAGCTCATCCAGGAGAGGATTTAACAGTCTTTTATTTTTTAATTTAGTAAAACACATAAAAACATTTGCTCCATGCATGATGCTAAAATGTTGTTAAACCTAAACTAAAAGCTCTGCAGACTGAAGAGTTCTGTGTTCAGTCTGCAGTGGTGCTCCACAAATATCTGCTGCACATGTCATAACTTCCTGCTGCCACCTGGGGGCGACACAGCCACATTTATCAAGGATTTTCAGTACAGAGCTACTGATCATTGATTAAATCTAATCAAATCTATGCTTCACTATTTAATTTTAAGTATTTTTTAACAAATACAGCAAAAACTGTCCATCTAACCAAGTTTTAAACTCTTATATCAGCCAGAAAGTCTTTTTGATCTNGCTGAAAAACCACCTCATCCTAGTGCAAAAACATTTTGTCGAAAAACACAATTTTTCGAAACTGACATGTTTCCATTGAGCAAATTTATTTTCGAAATTCTAATTTGCGCATTTTCATGGTCAATGGAAACGCAGCTACGGTTTGCTCTAAATCAATGGTTTCCAATATTGTGTACCCCTGAACCATTTTGTCATACCACTAGTACCCCCTCTGTCAAACGAAATGATTCTCTAAAGCTGTAATGTATAACTGACTATTAAATTAAAAACTCTTTATTTAACCCCCTAGAACATTTATTTCTCAGGCATTTTATTCTTTTCAATTCAAATTACACATAAAAATAAATGTTTCCTTGAAAGTGAATAAGTAATTAAGTGAATAAACCAGGTAATGGCAGGTGCAGGAAGTAGCAGCGTCCAAAATACATCAAATACCCCAAATGAGCAAATTCCGTAATTTTCCGTGACTTTATACAGGACTCCATTTTGTGTCAATTTCATGATTTTGTTTGCATTTACTGCATTGTGGAAATCAWAGGGCCCTACGTTATCTCAGTCCTATTTTTGTTTATTTTTAACACACCTGGGAGGTTTTTCCATGTACCCCCTGTAATAAGCTCACGTACCTCTGGTTGGGAATCACTGCTCTAAATCACACATACCTGAATTAATCTGTACCTTATTTTGTGTGCATCGTAAGGGTGACCTGCTCAACATGTTGGTGTAGTAGGCTGACAAGATTTGTCTGTACACCTTATGAGAAGATTTAAAGGGCCAGTATTATGTGTTTCTCAGKYATATATTTAAATACTATACCATAATAAAGTATCTATGTCACCTTCAGTTGTTATTAAAATGCTTTTTTATGTTGAAATAGAAAAACTACTTATATTCTCATCAGAACCAATGTTGAGAGCTCAGCAGACAGTTAGGTTTCACTTTCAGTTTCACCCGAGAGCCTGCAGGAGTCATGGGCGAGGTGGGGGGGGGTGCACTCTGCCATGAGGAAGTTCAGCTTAAAGACACGTCCCAGGGGTGTTTCTGGTACCAAAAGGTGTTTCTGGTCCCAAAAGTTGTTTCTGGTCCCAAAAGGTGTTTCTGGTACCAAAAGGTGTTTCTGGTCCCCACCTGTCGTTTTGCTCCTCAGCATGGCTTCATAAAAACACTGCAGGATTTCTCAAACATGATGAATGAGTCAGAGCAGTTGTGTGAGTATAACATTATAACATGATATAAAACTCAAAAAAGTTGATTTTACATGATATTGCCCCTTTAATAATAGCAGTAAGAACTGCATTTGCATTTCATGTTTCTTCTTCCATCCATCCAACAGGCCTTATTTAAAATCAATACAGTCC